ACACTTTATATATACAAAAGAGCACAACCCATACAACCAATCAACCTAAATAATCAAAATAAAAAAATAAACTCAGCCCCAAACTATAATCAACAACCCTTAAACCCTATACGCAACCCCAAGTCGTACTGAGCTGCAAATGTCGTTCACCTTGCAATCTCACCAATTTTAAACAAACCATTTCCTTAAAAGTATCGATACTTTGTGGTCTTCTTATTTTTCATTTTTTTATTCAAAAATATTGATACTTGTGAAAAACTATCCATACTTTTGAAGTTTAAAGAAAAATGATATTTTAACTTTCGAATTTAAAAGTATTGATACTTTTAGAAAAAAATATCCATACTTTGCAGCCTTCTCATTTTCCATATATTTTTTAATTCAAAAGTATTGGTACTGTGGAAAAATATTCATACTTTCGATTTTTTTATAATAAAAATATTAACATTTCAGATCACAACTTACTTTCTTAGTGAACCATAATATTTTTGGGCGCAACCCATTTGATTAATAAAAATATTAATATTCCAAATCGCAACATATTTCTTAGTGAATTATGACATTCTTGGGTGCAACCGTATTTCTTATATATAATTATAACATTTTAAGCTTTAACTTATTTTCTTATCGTGGGAAAATCCAAGGCATTGTCGGCTTAAACTCTGATAATATTTTAGGCACAACTCATTTTATTAATAAAAATATTAATATTTCATATCTCAATCTATTTCTGAGTGAACTATAACATTCTTGGACACAACCCATTTTATTAATAAAAATATTAACATTCCAGATCGCAACATATTTCTTAGTGAACCATGATAATTTTCGACGCAATCGTATTTCTTAATTAATAACAGTTTCTGCTTTTAAACTTATTTTCTTATCGTGGAAAAATCTAAGGCTCCAAAAGCTTAAATTTTGATAACATTTTAGGCGCAACCCATTTTATTAATGAGAATATTAACATTCCATATCACAATATATCTTTGAGTGAACCATGACATTCTTGGGCGTAACATATTTTATTAATAAAATATTAACATTCTATATCACGACCTATATTTTGAGTGAACCGTGTGTAACCCCCTCAGACCAATACGGGTGACCCGATCCGATCCGAGGAGTCACATTAGGGCCACCAGACCGACCCACCATAAAAATCCCATAAAATTTAAAATTTATGTTAAAACGCATAAAATCATAAAACAAATTATAATTACAGAAGTAAAATTTATCAATATTCAGAAATAAAACATAATTCAGACTCGTATATAAAATACAATACAACCTACATACCCCCTAATCACATGCACGATACTCTGCAAGCAACCCCAACAGAACTCCTTTACTGACGTTGATAGTTTCATTGCTTCAATCCTTTTAACCTGAAAAAGGTGAGTAACAGAGTGAGCTTTGGGAAACTTAGTAATACAGAACTACCAAGTGATGCAGAAGGACATGCAGATAACATATAAGCGTATGTTTCCTTATTGATTCCGACATCTACAGATTTTTATCCTGAGCTGAGGTCCCACTGATATCTCATATAGTAAAAGACAGTAAGCTTTCAGTTCACAGGAAATGTTTCGGATGATTGGGTTTAAGAGATCAGAATAGGGTGTCTAGTGTGTTCCAACAAAACCAGTGAAAATATTCAGATCTTTTTAAAATAGTAGCATTTTAAAACTTATTTTTAAAAACAATAGTAAAACCCTTAAACCGAACGCCAATATACATTTCCCCAGAACTGCATCCATAAGGACTTACCCTAGGCCTAAAAGGGCGTAGGAGCCAACCTAAGGGAGCACCTTCGGTCCATAAGGTCTTACCCTAGCCGAAACGTAGGTGCCCACCTGAGGGGAGTGCCCTCAGGTCCATAAAGTCTTACCCAAAAGCACATAACAGTGGTTCCTTCCCTAAGGGAGTGCCTTAGGTTCCATAAGGTCTTACCACTAGGCCAATTAGACCTAGGAGCCCACCCAATAGTCGCCTTAGGTCCATAAGGAATTACCGGCCTGTTCTGAACCTATACAAGGAATTACCAACAGTGACTGAACCTGCTAGTGTCTTCAGTCATACAAGAGTCCCAAAGTATCCCGTATAAAAATAATTTCAATCATTTCCTTTAGTCAGGTCATTCTATTTACTAAAAGTTGTCTGAGCAATGCAAACATAAATAATACTTCCGATGTTTTAGCCTTTAGGTATTTACTGATAAAACGATAATTCTAGGTATTGTACCTTCTCGGATGTAAAATATGATTATCAACGACTTTCCGAACATATCAGGAATTTAACAGGTGAATCAGCAGTTTATCGGATTAAATATGAATTCTCGGGGTACTTTTATTGTGAGGGTTACTCCGTACCATTTTTACCCCTTAGGGGCAATTTCATAATTTTATAATAAGGTGATTATGGTATTAAGCATTTTAGCGAAAATAATTAGAATTTAATAAATCTAAGGTCATTTGCTCTTCATATTAATCACTATACTAGAAATCATTTCTTATCAGTATTCCAGTTCCTTTATGTAATTTAATAGAGCCTTAACCAATTTATCACTTAAACCGTATTTGGTTCGAGTCCATTCATAATCAAACATGCATAATAGACCAATCATATACATCCATGCAGTTATCAATTATCAATATGTTATATAAAGCATGCAAAGAGGTAGTAAAGTATTACATCGATTTCTATGCCACACCGATCGAACATTTAAACTCCATTCGATCACCCTCAATCTTTAATTCAATGTCCAATAATTCCTCAGATACACAACAACATAAATTTCATCAAAAACAGAGCTTAATTGCGAAAAACATATCGAATCAGGTTGTTAATCAGTGAAAAACAACTTATCGGGTTCGAATTTGGTGAAACATACCTAAAACGGATTCAGGACGTCGAAAAACATCAAAATATGTGTAAAATAAATCAACGGTTGGTCAACATTCAACGCCTGGTCAACAGTCAACGGCTTACCCAGGCGGCTAGGCTCGACGGCTCGGCTTGGTTCGGCTCAGTCCACTCCCCAGGCTGGAAGACGATGCCCATGCGCAGGGACAGCGCGTGCGGCGGTTCTGGTTGTCATTTTGGCACAAAATTTTCCAGATTGCTAGATCGGGATTCTCGTGCAAGTGTTATTTTTCAATTAAACATAACGGATTACAGAATTTTAAAACGTACGAACCTCTCCAACGGTAGCTAGCGAGTGACGATGATGGAGCAACAACGGCGCAACGATTTCAATCGGGTTTTGAGCGCCCGATGACGGACCAATAGTGTAGGCGGTGTGGTGAACGACTGACTAGATCAACAAAAATCGCAGAAAATCCAACCGTTGGGGTGTATTTTCCGGAGATGCTTCGAACGTTGATTCGTGCTGATTGACGACAAATCACGCTTTGATATTCCTTGGGTTTTGCTTGGAATCACGCAAGAATGACGATGTCGGGGGTGGTGTGGTGAGCGAGTTATCAGATCGACTAGAATCGAAGGAAATCCGGTGCGATGGGGGTTATTTTGTTGCACACTTTAGAGCTAAAATTAAGATGAACGACGGTGTTTCACGATGCGATAATGCTCGGGCTTTGGTCATCGGTCGACGACAAACACGATGATGGCGGCGACTTGTCGAAACGATGGTTGGATGGTGGAGAATCGAGGCGATAAAAAGGGGCCGACGGGGTTGGGAATTTGGGTTTTTTTAATTGGGGAAAAATCATATTGGTGGGGGAAGTTAAATTTTTCAATGGGTAATAAAAATGGGTAAATTCAGGTTCAAGTCCCTAAATTTTCTACAACTTCCTAAAATGGTCTACCAGCTTCGCGATTTTATAATTTAGTCCTCAATTTCTCCCTTGATACAACTTTAATTCTATACTTAAATTTATTAAAAAATTTAGCCCCTAAATCAGAGTGTGACACCGTGACATTCTTGAGCGCAACCCATTTTATAAATAAAGATATTAATATTTCATATCGCTACCTTTTTCTTAGTAAACCATGATATTTTTAGGTGCAACCTTATTTCTTATATATAATTATATCATTTTCAGCTTTTAAACTTATTTTCTTATCGTGAGAAAATATAAAAATCCGTCAACTTAAACTCTAGTAATATTTTAGGCACAACCTAAAATGTTAATAATGTTAATAGTATTCATAATATTTGCGGTTTATAACTCATTTTCTTATATATTGTATAATATTTTAGTGCAACCTGTTATGTACTATATTGATCACTTTTTCTGTTTTGTTTTATAACATTTTGTATTCGCCTTTTAACTTATAAGATAAGTTTTTCGGTTACACCATTTTAAGTTATTTTAAAATACTTACAACATAATATATTATATCTAAACCTATTTTATTAATTTTTTTCAAATTTATAATTATGCAATTTTTAGTCACATTAGCGTGTGGTTCCTTTTAATTCTCCGGATAAAGAAGACCCTGGAAAAAGCTCCTTTCCGCGGAAAAGGATGGTATATTGTGATCAATAGTGACAAAGGGAATAAAGCGGCTCATTTCGGGGATTGAAAATTAAACAACCAAACGAGCTGTAAACTTTTTCATTATCCCTTTTGGTTTTTTAATAATATTTTCTCATAAAGATATAGGGGGAAAGCAAAGAGAGTTGTCCATTATGGATTCCACGTCCAAAAGTGTATAAAGAAAGTCTTCTTTTAAGCCAAATAGTAAACTCGTTTCATCGTGTTTGAATCATTGAATCATTCAGTTCGATATTTATAATAACTGATTAATAATATATATTTTTTACATTATTTGAGATACAATAAAAAGAAATACAAATAGTTTTGCTAAAAAAATACATCTTTTTCCTCAACATAATCAACACAATTCACAAAAGGGTATGTTTTGGAATTATACCCAATGGTGAATTCAACCCATTTGTTGAACTTTGTTTATGTTGAAAAAAAAAGATGCTCATCATGAGACAATCATGTAGGTCAACTTGTGAAGGATTTTGATGTCTTTCATCTTGATCAAGTGGTCTTGTGGAAGGATAAGATGATCCAATTTTTCTTTTCTTACCAAAGGGTAGTATTTACATGCATTGTCCATTTTGCTTTAATGTTGTCTTGGTAAAACTTGGAGAGCCAGCAAATACACAAACATCCAACAGACTAAGCTTTGATATCCCAATTTCGCTGCCTGTTTCACAAAATAAATGGCATTTGAACAGAGATGTAAACGGTGAAAGAACCTAAAACAAGAAGGCAAAAGCAATGATTTTACCTTATTATCTGAAGAAGACGTAAGGAAAAAAGAAGATGATGACGAAGAGGATGATGTTGAAGTTGACGTTGATGAAGTTGTGGACAAGGCAGAGAGTCCCACATTGTAAGCAATGGTTCCATCGGGTTCGAAAAGACCGTAGTTTCGCTCCGATGTCGGTCCGGGCTTCATATCCTCATTGAACAGAGCAAACAAGTACACTTCAAGCCTCGTATTTGTCCTCAAGGGTGTCCCCTCATTCCTCATTTGCCTCCTCACCAAATTCCTGTTGTAAGCGGCTGCATTCATCGGGGTCGCTCCGAATTCATCACGGTCCCCTTTCGACGGCCAACCCGTCTCCGCCACCCGCACCTCGATCCCTCCATAACCCAACCTAGACATCGCGTAAACGACAGCATCTACCTGTGCGTACAACATGTTATCGTAGTGTAGCTTGGTGTAAGGATCTACCATGCCCGGATTTTTGTTGAACAAAACATAGTCCAAGTTAACGTTGTCCGGGGCACCTTTGTAAGCGAAATAAGGGTATGCATTGATCCAAAACGGGGAGCCAGTGCTCGCCAGAAACTGAAGATACTCCGACATGATCCCCGAGACTTCGCTCTTGAAACACCCGGCCGACGGTGGGAAAGATTCTTGAAGAATGGATAATGAGTTGGGTGTGGAAACTCGAATGTACTTGTCTAGTCCTAATTGAACTAAAGCATCATGGATGCTGACCATGGCCGGAACAAGATATCCGACAAGGGACTTGTCGACGTCGGTGAACACCTCGTTCCCGACCGATATCTCGGTGATCTTCGTGGCCGGGAAATAAGGCTGGACGTGGGTGCTGACCCATTGAAGTGCTTGTTGGGGATCCATTACCACGGACAGCATTTGGTTTTCAACTGTAGCGATGAGCTCAACGTCGGAGTTGGCGAATGTTGTCAGAATTTGAGGATTGGTGTCGTAGATTTTTGCTTTTGTGATCTTAAGAGAATTTAACAGTTCAAGAACCTTGTCGGGTGGTGGCAAATTGCTGCCAACTTGACCATAGTTGATGCCTAATGAAGCGACTCGTAATATACCATAATCTGTAAATATACAGACAAAGAATTATTAGTATATCGTCAGTATATTTTTAGTTATTGACAATACATATTTTATAGATATAATGGTTTAAATTCAGATTTAATATAAAAAAATATTTATTTTTAACATAGAGATTACTTGATGAGTTTTTATTTTACTCGTATTTAAATATAATTATCCTTAACAAAAATAATAAAAACATACCTGAGGAACATAGAGAAAAGAGGAAGAATACATGGAATATCATGGAAATCGTTGTTGCAATGGAAGAAAGAGATACAAGGAGGAATTCTTTGCTTGTTTGAGGTTTGATTTTGAGAGATTTTAGTTGCCTTTGTTTATTTTTCTTACCACCTTAAACGGTGTTTTATACGACTTGGTTCTTTAGGCATGTCTTTTTCTTTGGGTTTTGGACCAGCTTGTCTCTTTCCAACGCACGCCAAACTTCTTACGGGGTTTTATCATTATTACACAATTGCCACATCCACTTGCTTCACGCGAAATGAAAACTAAAATCACACTATTGGATGAGATATTAAATCTATTAAATAAAATTAAAAAGCTTAAATCTTAATATTTGTAAATAAAAAATTTAAATTAGGAGATTGCTTTTATAATAGATTTATACAAAGCTTGATCTAAAATAGTTAATTAGTAGATTGAATACAAGTGGTTAAACAAAAAAAAAATATGTACTACTTTTTACGGTGTTCTTTAAGGTAAATTACACTGATAGTCAATTGACTCTTAAGATACTTTTAATTTGGTCATTAAACCTTTAAAATTTGTATTACAATCATTAAACTTTTAATTCTTTTATTATGATCACCGTCGTTACGAAATACTAACGTGATATGTTAAAGTTTTCTTCCCCAAAATCCCTTAATTTTTCAAATTGACAATCCTCGTAAAGGTTGATTTTTCTATTAACAGAGCGATTGTCAGTCAATCTCAATGATGAGAAAACTCACTTTGGTTATAAGGGACATAGTTTGATTTCAGGTTGATCCAACATTTAATAGAGGATGATAAAAATATTAGTTTTTAGTTTTTATTGAATTGTCACATCCTTTCTATTGTCATTCAATAGTTTATTCGATAAGAAAAATCACTAAATTATTTTTTTCTTTAAGTTCAAACACGTCGAAAAATATTCTAATCTCCTCAAATCTCAATTGAGACTAAAAACTAATTTTTTTAATATGATGGTGTTAATTGTTCGATCAACTTAAAATCGAATTATATTAATCAATTAAAACTAATAATCATCAATTGAATGAAATTATAATAAGCATGTTATAGTTTATTCTAGCCAATACCCATAGATTATGAACAAATTATACTTTAAATATATGTAATCAATTATATTTTTGTATTCATCCATCAAAAAGTGTTACTTCGGATATAGCCATCAATCTTTCCGTCATTTGATCAATGCATATGTGTTCATATTATATAATATATAATGTTGACATTGGATAATTTGTTAGGGTATTATCATTCACTAATGCACCATGGGCCTCACAAATTAGAATGATGGAATCTACAACTACATATATATTTTTTTAAAAATTGCAAACAATATATAGCAGATTACATATTATAAGAATTAATCATTGTTTAACACGAAGATAAATATCATCATAATTAATTATTATAGAATATGATTTAATTTAGAGTTAGAACATACCCAGAATATAAAATGTTATATTAAGGATATAAATTCTAAAAACTATATTAAAAATTTAAAACATACAAAATTATAAAATCTCATAATATAAAATTATATCATAAAAAATATCTGCTAAAAGTTTCAAAACCCCTCAGTCAATCCCTTCGTAATGGCCCCACTAAATTCATTACATCTCATTCTTTACACATAACTGCATGAAGATTTGGATCAAATTCCACTTGTATTATAAAGCAAGGTTTGGTGAGTGGATAAGGAAGGGTACACGTAATACGTTGAATTTCATTACAAAGATGAGTGTGCTTATCTTAAGTTAGGGTTCTTTTCAATCTTTTGTGATCTTAAAGTAGACATGATTAAAAAGACAGAAAAATCCTTGTTAGATTTTCCCAACAAACAGGTCTGGTTTTCCATTTCATTTACACGCAGGCAGGGAAATCTGTTAACAGTCAAAAGAAGAGACTTTCCCAATTTCTATTACAGCACATGCCTAAATTAGTTTCCATCTTTTGGCAGCCATATCCGGTTGGCAGAGAAGACTCTTCATCAATGCCCCGTCAATTCTTGTCATCTTCCATTTAAGTTTCCTCTATCTTATTTGTAAAGTTTAAAAGTTTTATCGGTCTCGAATAATAATCTTATTATATATTACGACCAAAGACAGATGCACTAAACTCCTTAAGAAAATTAGTGCATATCCATCATTTTTAAAAGTATTAAATTTGATTTAATGTATTAAATGAAGTAAAAAAATTGCATATATATATATATACAAATATAAATTTAGTAATATTTTAGACATTTTAAATGTTTGGATCCGTTAAAGAAGGAATTTGACGTGTATGAAATTAATAAAATATTTACCTTTGTTATTTTTTTTAATTGGAAAAGAGGCCTAAAAGATTACATTAAATTAAACTCTTAAATACGAGTGGCAAGATTACATTATGTTTACCTTTGTTATTAATTTCCTTTTGACATGTTGAGTTCAAATGTAAGTGGTGGCTATGTTGACTTTTGTACAAGTAAGCCATGCATGCAAATGAGCTGGAACTTGGTTCCTTTTTTTTATTACATGCAAGTTGGACTGTCGTGAATTTGATCAACGTAGGCGGCTAGCTATGGCCTAACAGTTAAGTCTTAAAATTTTCCCAACATTATTGATTATTGAATAGATCTGGTAGCGTTATAAATGAAGTCAATGAATATGATCTTCAATGAACTACTCTGCATCGTTTATATATTTTACACGAATATTTACCGAAGTTAATTAATTCCATTCAGTGAAGGTTTGATCGTTTTAGATGGTTGGAAACTTATGGGAATAGGGTTTAGGGTTTAGGTTCATTGGCAGACCACTTTGTGAAACTAAGTGGCATAACCCCCGACCTTGCATGTGATCCGACTGTTGAAAGATATCATCAAGGGGAAAAAAAGGAAAAGATTCATCTTGCAAGACAAGTCGTCAGTTTTATCAATTATATGTTTGATGTTTTGATACAATATATATTAGGGTAAACTATGCGTTTAGTACTTAAATTTTTAGATTTTTTTTCAAAATCATATCTAACGTTTAATTTTTGTTTCATTTTAGTATCCCGCCCTTCAAAACTTAGCGGACCTATTACGAGTAAATTACATCATTCATCACTCAACTAATTTAATTACTTAACTTTCAAATTACTCCTAATTTAATCACTCTAACTTTCAAATTTATTTTTACTTTAAGTATATATTAATAAAATAAAATAAAAATATTATGTAGCAAAATATTATTAATAAAATAAATTAGAGTGATTAAAAAACTGAGTAATTTTGAAAGTTTAGTTAAATTGAATTTTTTTAAACTTTAATGATTAAAATGGGAGTGAGAAGATAATTAAGTGATTAATGATGTAATTTACCCATAAAAAGGTCACCGTGAAAATATTTGTTAAGTTTTTAACCATATGGTATTAAGATGAAATAAAAACTAAACACTAAATATACTTTTAAAATAAATAAAAGCTTAAATATTAAAACAGAAGAAAATCAGTAGTTTAGGTACTAATTATACGTAGTACCCTATATTTTTCTCATTTTCGGTGCATTTTAATAGACAAAAAAAGTAGAGGCCCCAGCAAGAGGGTTTCAAATTTCAACATTTATATATTTTTCTTCTTATTTCCTGGTTTTTTTTAAATGCCATGAATTCTTTAGCATGGTTATCAAAATCGAACCGGATCGGACCGGCCGGTTCAACCAGTTGAACCGTGAACCGGTGGCCTATCCGGTCTGGTTACCTCACAAAACGTCTGACAATGAACCGATTGAAAACCGGTAGAATCGGGTGAATCGGCTGAAACCGACAAAACCGGTTTAAACCGCCATTTCACTTTTTTCTTTAAAAAAAAATTAAACCAAACGACGTCGTTTGTTCAACGAGCCAAGTAAAATTTGAGTATTGCTAACTCGAACTCGAAAACTTTAAAAGTAAGCTCAACTCAACTCAAAAACTCACGAGCTAAAAATTATCAAGTTCAACTCGAACTCAAAATATAGTATTAAAATTTGAACTCGAAAAGGCTAAACTCAAAAAAAATTTAGAAGTTCAATTGAAGCCTAAAATTTGAGCTCAATTGAAGCGAAAGAATAGTTCGCTCTGTGCTCAACAAAAGGCTCCATGATTTTGAATGTCAAATTACCTCTATTATTTATAGAAGTAAGTTGGGATGCTCTTCTATGTTTCTTAGCCATGTGGGATTGTTTTGTTCTCATATTTTGACTCTTTAAACTTTTGGGACGCTCTTCTATGTTTCTTAGCCATGAGATTGTTTTTAAAAAAAAAAATTAAACCAAATGACATCATTTATTATGATTTTTTAAGCCTCAATTTTATTTTTTTGATTATAATTATATAATTATATTTATTATTTAATATGTTTTACCTTAAATATTATGTTGTAGTTGATTTGAATCATTTTGTTTCACTTGATTTTATGGTTTTTAATTTATATATGTTATGACTTGTGATATTTTTATACATTTTAATATTGTAAACTTAAAAAAAATGTTACATATATATTAATATTGCTTTGAATATTATGTAAAATTAAAAAAAAAATATTATTTTATATAAAATCCGATTCAACCGCGGTTGAACCAGATTGAACCAGTGAACCAGTACCTTCACCGGTTCAATGTCCGGTCCGGTTTTAAAAACAATATTCTTTAGCTTACTTAGCTCATCGATGTAAGGGTGGATTAAAAAGTTTAGATTAAACTGTTAGAATTTAGAAAATTGATGTCAAAATTATTTTAAATTGGTGTTTATAATATTTTATATAAATTTATAATAAAAAAATATGTAAATCTTCCAATTATGTGATAAGTGATGTTAACTCAAGTGGTACTATACTTCCTACTTCAAGTGTAATCTTTTCAATTTCTTTGGTACTTGGTAATCTGGACTCTGCTAAATTATTATTGACTGTCGATAAAATTAGAGAAATAAAACTCAAATAAAAGTAATCAAAGTTCATGTTTTTGACTTTGTCAATCCTCCAACACTTTAGAATATGTTGTTTGAAGAATCATTTACACAAGTATATTTCAGTCATTTTAGCTCTACTTTGGTTTGAGAA